GGTGTGTAAACTTCTTCAAAAACGGCAATATTCCAAACATTATTGGAATATCCAGTATATTCCGATTTCTGTATGGTGGGCAAGCATGCAGTAGCCAATAAAAAATATAACAGAATCTTCTAATATAACCATCTTGTTGTCATGCCCAAAAATAAACGGGAGAGCAAGAAGAGAGGGGGTAATTAAGTTGACTGCTTAGTTTCATTAAAAACCAGGGACCAAAAATATATAGACCTGCAAACACTTTCACCAGAGGTAGAAGTATGTTCCCCTAGCACCACACAGCCTTGCCAACATAAGAGGCGTGTGACATTTGCCCTGCGGTCCTGTGCCATCTACGATACAGCTCAAAAGTGTGGTTTCCCTGATATGGACCAAAATCGACTTTATTGCCCAAATAGAGCATATTAACATATTGGCCCGAATATAAGCCACAACTTTAAAATTCGAGGGGGAAGAAAAAAAGACAGTATCCGAATATAAACCACTCCCTTAAAATTCCGCAGGCACTCATACCCGTTCCATTTTACCGTATGTCTGTTTCAGCTGCGATACCATAAAAGCCAGTTTCTTTAAGGTTGTGAATTTAAGCGGCACTTTAACTTTTCACGGTTGGAATTTGGAAAAAAAAGGTGAGGCTTATATTCAGGCCAATACAGTACATTCCAAATACCACCACCTGTATTCTCCCCAATATCTCCCTCCCCGGAGTTTTAAAACCAACTTAGAGCCTGCAGTGCAGGTTAATAATTGCTTATATTAAGCTGCAACCCAAGCTTTTACCATAGAGGAACAGGGTTTTTGTAAGAGGTCTAGTGACCTGTACGCGGGTGCAGCTCAGCCAGAAAACATGTTGCCCAATAAAAATGCAGCCAACCAATGTCCTTGATCTGGGAGGCTTCCTTGGTAGTGGGTGATGGATTCTGATCAGTTGGATTTTGTTGTTAGCCAGATAAAATCTTATCAGCAGCTGCTGAGACTTCCTAAGGAAAGCGCTTCTTTCATCAAAGGGCAAATTTCACTTTTTGTTTTGCCTAATAGTTTCCCTACGGGACGCAGTTGGCGCTGTGAGTTAAACCACAGAGCCTAGGACTTGCCAATCAGAAGGTCGGCAGTTCGAATCCCCGCAATGGGGTGAGCTCCCATTGTTCAGTCCCAGCTCCTGCCAACCTAGCAGTTCGAAAGCACATCAAAATGCAAGTAGATAAATAGGTACCGCTCCGGCGGGAAGGTAAATGGCATTTCCGTGAGCTGCTCTGGTTCGCCAGAAGCGGCTTAGTCATGCTGGCCACATGACCGGAAGCTGTACACCGGCTCCCTCAGCCAATCCCCGAGTCGGTCACGACTGGACCTAATGGTCGGGGGTCCCTTTACCTTTAATAGTTTCCCTAATAGACATTTTGAAGGAGTTAAAGCCCAAAGGACGATAATGGTGTAGAGCAGCCATAGGGAAGTGTTGAGAAGTTGGTCCCAATTCATACCCACAAAGGCTTTTTCTTTCCTTTTGCCATTGTGTCCAGGAAGGCACAGCAGTTCATCCTGGCATCCTAGCCAAAGATACGAGCAAAGTCCCTGGGGTCCAGTAGCAACCTTGCATGACTTCAGTTCAAAAATTTTTTTAGGCACATTCCTTTTCTTACCCTTCCTCCTGCATAGTTGTAAAAACTTAATGCATTAATGGAAAACCAGTTTAAAATATTTGCTTTTGTTTCAGTGACTACTCAAACGGAGGAGATGGAATGTTAGCTACAAGTTCCAATGGATCTCAATATAGCGGCTCTAGAGTAGAGACACCAGTGTCTTATGTTGGAGATGATGACGACGACGATGATGAGGACTTTAATGAAAATGACGATGACGACTGATATTTTTTGCGTGTAGACTTTTTTAAATGTTAAAATTCAGCAAGCTTCAGGAATAATTCTAGGAAGAGAATTGTCATAAAATTGCCCCATCAAGGAGATACTGGTAAGAGTCCTGAATTTAGAAATTGCTCCTCCAGTAAAGTAAAAAGAATTGTTTGTTTTATGTAGATTTTTTTACATGTGGTGAGGATGTGTGTGTTGATACCAGTGTGTTAATGCAGAACCTTTATTTACTCTTTGCTTAGAATTTTTAACTTGAAGGAAAATGCATTTTGCCCCTAAGTGTTGTTGCTAAGTTTGAAAATGTAGCCACATTTAATGGAAAATAAAATCTGTCCACCTGTCAAAAATGCATACACTGAATGGCATTTTATTTAGAGTGCATTTAGGTGACACTTCGTACTGAAGCATAGCAAACAAATGTTATATTTTGCTGATCATGCAGAGTCCAAAGAAACAAACAAAAGAGCCTCTTTTTAAATGTTAGTTTGCGGAAATTGTGTGAAATTATTTCCCTTTTAAAAATTATTCTGATCATTGTAATTCCATCAAATTTATATATTGTGTTTGCTGAATGTTAGGACATATGAAATACAATTTTTGGCAAATGTTTACTGCCAAGCTGGCACAGCTGTGTAAATGTCTTGAAGGTTTGGGATGAGTTTTGCTTATGATAAAAATTTGCCTGATTTCTTACAGGCAGATTTTGAAAACAATTTGTTATATAGTTGTTTACATACCTATAAGTCTATCATATAAAAGACATGTACTGAAACAAATGTTTATATTTGTTTCTTAAACATCTTCCAGTAATCTATTATAAAGTTGAAATTAAATATAGAGAATGTTTTATGTTTAACTCAAAATTTGTCAATCACTTTTAATACTTCGTTTTTTTATAAAAGAAATTTCAGGGCAGGTGGTAGTCTTTTAAAATTTATTCACAAAGAATTAACTGCACAAATACTGTCAGCTGCCTGTTCTAAGACAGTAGTCTTTTTATTGAAACACAAATAAACTTTTCTGTAATATTTTATGGAATATAAGCAGTTTGTTTTACTTGTTTAATTGTGGCACTATTAGTTTTTATTAATAAAAAGCGCGTGGGCATTTTTAACAAGTTCTTTGTTTCTCTAATCAAGATTATTTTCACCTTCTGCTTTGTTGTGTTTTGACTTGTGATATAGTTCTTCAGTTTGGAAGAGTTTCAGAGCTCTTTAAATGGGTAAGTAGGTAGGTATTTATATCTCTACATAAATTGTGAGAGACTTTAACAGCACTGCATTCACAAGCAATTAATCCCTAGGATAGTGCCTCTGATCATAGAAATGTATAAGTGGATAAATGATTGAGATATGCCTGAAATAAAAGGGAGCTTTAGTAAAATGTGTTGGCTTCTGTTTTCATCAGTAAATTAAAAAAATGCCATTTTTTAAAATGGTTAGTTAGAATAGTATGTATTCTGATGCGTCTGATTTGATAAAAATTGTATATTCTTGTGGTGCCTCTCTAGACACCATATCCTCCCTGAGATTGCTGTCTCCTGCTTGGCTTTTGTAAAGGGAGGAGGTACAGTGGTACCTTGGAAGTCGAACGGAATCCGTTCCGGAAGTCTGTTCGACTTCCAAAACATTTGGGAACCAAGGTGTGGCTTCTGATTGGCTTCAGGAAGCTCCTGCAGCCATTTGGGAACCAAGGCGCGGCTTCCAATTGGCTGCATGGAAGTCATGTCAGACGTTCGGGTTCCAAAGAACATTCGAAAACCGGAACAATGACTTCCGGTTTTTGATCGGGAGCCAAAACGTTCGACTCCCAAGGCATTTGAAAACCAAGGTACAACTGTGCTTGTACAGTGGTACCTCGGGTTACATACGCTTCAGGTTACAAACTCCGCTAACCCAGAAATAGTACCTCGGGTTAAGAACTTTGCTTCAGGATGAGAACAGAAATCGTGCTCCGGCGGAGTTTTGGGGGAGGTGGGATTGCAGCCACTAGAGTCACTAATAGAGTCAGCCGTCCAATGTTTGCAAGGATATGCTTTCCATCTGCACATGGGGATATTTTTCATTTAATTCCTTTTGTTTATTTAAAACACCTTCACAGCTTGAGGCATCTTCTTTTTTAAAAAACACAATTTAAAAGAGCGAAAATGTCGATGTAATGAAACACTAATCAAAATAATCAGTGGCATACAGTGCTTAAAATTACAAAAATTGGCGGTCGCAAACATCACCCTGGTAACGTAGCTCACCATTAGGCCTGTTGTTGCAGATGTAATAGGCTAGCTTGCTTGCCCAAGCATGCACAGGCCGAGACAGTCAGACAGCGTAGATCCACATCACTGTTAGAGCTTGTAAGTTGTGACCTTGCTTAAGGCCACTAATCATTATTAAGAGAGACTTTCACTGTGAACATTCTGGCTCACAGTGTGCAATTTAGTATTTGCTTTAATATAAATTATAAAACTAGAATGTTTACTGTTGCCAGTTTGTAGAAGTTTTTCTTAGTGCAAAAGATAGTTTCATGTTCTAATTAACTTTTTTGTGCTCAAAAGCACTGCACCAGATGCAACTTTTAAAATATGCTAAGGAGCCGCTGCTCTTCAACTCCTAATGGGATTCTATTGACGGACTGGTCGCCTTCAAAATAAAACTAAAATATAAACTACTAAAAGATCCCAAGAGCCCATACCACTTGTTCTAGTGGCTTTAGATTCATGTTCCAACAGCAGCTTTTTTTCCTCCTCTACTCCATGGCAGATCAAATTTGTGTTACCATTGCCATTTTAAGAGAACCAGGGAGTGAGTTCCGGCACCTCTTTTTCTAGAAAATAACACTGGTGTTATGTTCAGATGCAATTTGCAGTGGGACTTTTCCCTGTTTTCAAATTTTAAACTCAAAAACCCCACATTGTGTGTCCAAAGTAGCTTTCAACCTGTACCAAAGTGTATTGCATGAACAGTGCCACAAATAATAGTTTTATTACTATTTAATTTTTTTGCATCACACACATTTACATTAGGTAGTTTTAAACATTTCCATTGAAATGACACCAACATGTTTTCATTAGGTAACATTTCTTACATTGTGTTTAGTAAATTTAGTATCCAGCTTGGCCTTTTCAGGGAGTGGAAATCACATTAGCATCTGCGCTAAAGCACTGGTACATTGAAAGTAAGTTTTGTACAGTTGAATATTACAGTAGTGACTTGTTTTCGGATGGCTTTGGGCCTTCGAAAAGTTTTTACGTAGTTGCCCTCTGTAGACGTTTTGTATCAAACTGCAGACATTCAAATGGAAACCATATGTTACAAATACAAGTTGCATGATACTAAAATATTATACAGCGTGTTAATGACTGTTCAAGCAATTATTAAATTATTTGCTTACATCAATTCAACAAATACAAAACAAAAACGAACTTTTTTAAAAAAAGCTTTTGAGTGAGAAAAGGGGGAGAGGTGTGGATTAGCATTCATAGGTTTTGTTCGTTTTTCAAATTACAGGTGTATAATAAACAGTTACGCATAAGCATTGGTGTAGACTTGCCATACGACTTGTTAGCATCTGGGTCATGTATTACGAGTGAGGAATTAAGTTGAGTAATCCATTGCTGGAATTCTGGATTGTTCATTTTTCTGCTGTCGTAAAACAATAATACATTTGACAACCAACAGTGTGACTTAATCCATTTCTGCTGTCCTGGATGAAGGTTCCAGACAACAAGGAGTTATCCTCAATGAGCTCGGCACTCTCGTTACTCAATTTTGTATCCTGACTTTGAATTCCACTTTTCCTTCGTACGGGTCGTGAGGATTATCTGAAGTAATTCCAGTACCATTAACTCTACATACAATGACTACTTCTTTGTTTATGGGCATGTTGAGAAGCTTCACTGCCACCAGTGGATTGCTGTAGGTAGGCTAAAATGAAAGTGTACAACGTTAGATCATTCCATTTAAAGTATCTGTGAAAGTCAAAGTGAACATGGTCAAAAAACATACCTGTGCTTTTAATCCATAATATGGGAAGTAGTGAAGGGCAAAAGTACCATTTGTAGGATAATAATCTACCTCCAGCGGACTGGCATCATCCTGTTGATCATAGGCAAGGCAAGTGTTAGGACTAGTGCTTTCTCTCTAATTACATGTTGCTTTGTGCTTTAGGTATGTTACGTAGCCATACTTCACTAGTGCAGTTTGCATGTTGTGAGCTTAAGAGCACTACTTGAAAATAAAATTCAGTCTGAGGTGAAAGTAGGAACTCCCTCCACCGTTATTAGATTACAAAATAGAATTGTAGAATTGGAAGGGACCCTGAGGGTTATCTCTAGCCCCAACCACCTGCAGTGTAGGAATATGCAGCTGTCCCATATGGGCCTTGAACCTGCAACTTTGGTATTATCAACACCACACTCTAACCAACTGAGCTATCCAGGCATAATATCAAAATGTTTAGCTTCAGTTCTTCGGCTGCTTCTCAGATATTGGCAAGTATTGAATAGCTTCCAAATGTTTTATTGAGGGACATAACGGAAGCCCTAGCTATGTGTTTGTAAAGTAAATATGTTTTTGAAACCTCATGAGGTTTTTGACCTTGTGGCTCAGGTGATGATAGGGAAACAGGGTAACAGTGAAGCGCTCTGCTCCAAATTGCCTCCATCCTGAAATGGCTTTGGGTAGCAGAAAAAGCAGAAACCCCCGGCATTTTGGTAACGTGCTTCTCTGTATAACATGAAGTTGGAGCCCTAAAGCTGTGGCCCTTTGCAAGCTTGAGCCGTTGAGCTCTAGTAAGACTTCTGGATAGGCGTACATACATTTTTACTGTGTATTAGCTAAATGGAAATAATTTCAATACAAGAACATTGGGCAATATAAACTTACCAGTGTTGTGCAGTTCACTCTTGGTGCAGTGCCGTTGCCAGGGAGAAAATTTATAATCTGTGAGGTAATAATTTTTCATGTTAACCAACGAAAAAATAGTAGCTTTGAATTTTTTAAAATTTATTTGTCATGGACCTGGAAAGTTCAGGTGCAGGGATGGAACAGAAGATCCCACTTGCGCTGGGATGCTTGTCTCAGCTGTTGGTTTATGTCCTTGTGCTATACCAGTTATAACTATTCCTGCTTTCTTATACTTGGCACCTTATTCCCAATCTTTGTTTTCCTTTCCTAGGATATTGGGAATCTTCTTGTTGGGTGGGCAATACTTTATATTAGGACCAGCGAAACAACTTTTGTGAATAAGAGTTCTGAAGAACACGAAAACTTCCCAGTATTTCATGACATTTCGGTTGGTATTTCCCAACTGTCAATTTTAAGACTTCCTTTCCCTTATGGGTCAACAAAGCTACATTTGTGTTTCTTTACATCCCTTGTTGGATGAGATTCTGCTGTTAAAATAAGAAGACCTTTTCAGTTCATGCCTTTTAGTCCTTCAGAACACTACAGATCAAATAAGGCTTCAGGTTGCTATAAGTTGCCTCCCTTTGTTTCCAGGTTTGAACTCAATAATGTTTGATATAATAAATTATTCTTTTAAAGAACTGTTTAAGTACTTACTCTGTTCATTTTTATTATTAAGCAAGGGCTTCTTTCTGGAAAACCAAAATTAGAATCCGCCAGACCCGAACAGTTTTGAAGCATATCTTGTGTAAATTTGCAGGAATATTTTGTGTGGTGTGGAGCATCAAAAGACTTTTGAAAATAGTATCCTTCCATAGTACAGTTCCTGTTGGCATGCTGTGCAGTTTCGTTGTAAGCTGTATATTATTGATAGAAAAAGTAGGGGGGAAATCAATTTCTATTGCTTTCTTTTGGAGCACCTTCCAGGCTAACCTCTTGCCATTGTTTTTATAAGAGAATAATTGCTCTTTCTTCTTAAAATAACGTTGCCTCTAATGGTTGTACAATCCTGCTGCCTCTTGTAATTGTTTAGGGAAACTTGGAAAATGTTGCCTAGTTCATCCAGAAATACATACAAGAGTTACCTTTCTGCATTCAAACCCAAACTCAAGGTGACCCCATGCAACTCTATTTCAAAGTGATGACCTTCTACTGTACTTCAGGCCACCTTTATTGTGATATTTTCCCACATACTTTACCTGAAAGAAAGCTGTGAAGAGTTTTAACATAACGTTCCCAGGAGTCCGGGTCAGAAATATTGTAATAAATTTCCAGTCCTTTTTCTCCATACACATCTGGTCGTAATGTCACGCCTTCATTGAAAGTGCAGTTTAATACACAGGTGAGGAAGAGAGAGAGATCCCATTACAGGCAGTTCATCTTAGTTTGGTGAAAAAATGAGTATAAATTGAAAGTCTCCAATTTCCAACAATCAGGTTACTAGAAATCAGAAAGGTTTGACCTCCTTAACATTAGTTTTGTAGTGAACCTATGCCTGACATTTCTTGGTTTGAGAACCGAATCTTAGCAAAGAGTTCTTTGTCATTTCAAAGGGTTCCTGCCCCCCTGGAGATGGTTAAAGTTAACGCATTCAAGCGCAACCACATGATTAATTTAACTGGTAGTAGGCCCTTACTTGCTGCTTAAACAAAATATAATAACTTGGGATTAAAGGAAGGAAAACTCAGATATGCTTCAATTTTGTGGCTTCTGTCATGGTATATTGTCAAGAAAAGTAAGCTATAAGCTACTATATTTACTCAAATGTAACACGCACCTCTTTTGGCAAAATTACATCACAAAAATTAGGATGCACATTAGATTTGATGGCGCATTAAATTTGAGTAAATACAGTACAGCTATACCTTGGAAGTTGAACGGAATCCATTCCGGAAGTCTGTTCATCTTCCAAATTGTTTGAAAACCAAATTGCAGCTTCTGATTGGCTGCAGGAAGCTCCTGCAGCCAATCAGAAGCCCTGCCAGGCATTCGGGTTCAAAAAGAACATTCGCAAACCGGAACAATCACTTCCGGGTTTGTGGCATTTGGGAGCCAAAACGTCTTGAGTTCCAGGGAGTTCAGGATCCAAGGTACAACTATATCATTCCAAATGAAGCTGTGGCCTTCCAAGTGGTGTTAGCCATTAACCATCCTAGCTAGTGCTAAAGGGAGTTCAGCAACAACTAGAGTACCACAGATTCCCCATCCCTGCTCCTAAAACTCTTAAGCACCAGGCTATACTTCATTCATCAGAACTCAAACCATCATTTTATGTGTCTTAAGTTGATTTATGCAGTAAGTGAGTGTGTGTAGCACAACTTGTAACAGAATGGGCAGGAATGTGTTAAGTACCTGGTGATTTTAATCGATCTTGGTAGTCCGGTGTATACGGATTGAGTGTCTTCATTAAAGAATATATAGCAAGTGCAAACAGTCCAGTCATTACCACATAGAATGCAACATAATAAAGACTGATCCAAACTATTAAGAAAAGAAATAGTAAGTTAAAACTTTTTAAAAGCATGATATTCATTACTCTTATGAGGCAACCTGTTCTGGTTCAGTAACTAATCATAGCAGCAACCAAGTACATGACAACAGTTAGGTGAAATATTTATAATAGAAGTTTTAAGGCATTTCAGCACAGGAGCTTCTTAATCTCCTGGTTAAGCATTCTAGTGCTAGAAAAGGAGCACAGATTTTTGTAGCACTGCGATTCAGGAGAATGCTACACTCAACGGGGTGATTTGGGGAAGCTGACTACAGTTGCTGCTTTGAAGATCATCAGTGGAAGCTGGAAATTCAATACCATTTGGCTTTCATAGGGTTGGATGCACTGAAATAAATATCCCAGCACTGAAATTACGAGTTGAGAACTTTCTAAATTTCCCATAATAAGAATTACAACGTATACCGCACAACTAAAGTTAATTGCTTCAACTACTGAGTAAGGATGGTTGTGGAGGTCTTCAGTACAAACTTACAGAGAAATGTACTGTTTAAAATTTATACTCCCAAAAGAATAAAGGGACAATGAGTATGTCGCTGTTGAAGTCTAACGGACAAAAATGCAATTTGCAGTTTCACATCACAAAGTAAAAACACATGTTGAGCTGGAGCATAAATTTTTGTATGCGTGTGTGTGTGCACCAGCTTATCCACACTTTAGCAGTGCTCTTTCCAGGTCCAGGTCTGCACTTAAAAGCTCTGTGTCCAAAGGATTTTTTTGCCCTAGAGCTTTTCCTGTGAAAATCTGCTTTTTAGCTCTCAATTGGAGCAAACATCCATTCGAGTTTACCATAAATTGCAGTTTGGTCCAATTGAGCTTAAAGAGGGAGTTTTCATGGGCAAAGCTCTGGAAAAAGATAAAAGGCAATTGGACACTAAGCACAAGTCATGCCTGGGAAGAATGGAGGAGAAAGTAAATGTGGATAAGCCCACCTGCTAAATCTAATGAAATACAAGTAGCATATATTGAAATTAGTCACAGAATAATAACCAATAAAGTGAACATCTTATCAATGGCATTTTTAAGTTGCTGTGGCTTATGATTGAAGAAAGGGATAAAGATGTTTGAAATTAAATTTTCCATTAGTTGTATTTCAGAGACTTTTAAAAATATATATATATAAGTAATGGCACCCTTCTGAAGACAGACCAGATCCAGTGAGCTGATTTAGGTGCATCTAACCCATTGCATGCACTTTGAACACAATCTTTTAGCAGCTTTCCGTTGAAGAGCAGACCCCTGTGCCATATTACAAACCGCTTTAGAAACTCCCCTCAGTTTCTTAAAGAGGTTTGCACCCAGCACTCGGGGCTGCTGTGGGAAAACTCCCTTGGATTCACAGAACTAGTTATGTGGTTCTTTGGATCCAGATCAAAAAGAATAAAATCAAAGTCATGGTTCTTTCTATTGTTTCTGCCACAAACTGGCATTTCTGCGCTCGTCTAATAGGAGTTCTGGGTTTTGTTAGTCTGTTGCAGAGCCAACTGCTTCCCTGTAAGCTATTTTAAATAAAAGGGAAATGAGTGTTTTATGCTAAAGTCAACAAATTTGCAAATCGTTTTTTTTTTAAAAAGTAGTTTGTGGATTCTCCAGGCTCGTAACCAAGTAATACTGTTATATAGGAAGCATCTTGTCAACTTAAGACGTTTAATCATACAGAAATAATGCAAATGACCAAATCCCAACAGCACAAAAATGCCTGAACGATATTCTCTTCTGTGTGTTTGGCCACATACCCCAGTTAATCAAGGTTCTTCCCATTAACTGCCCTGTTTCCGGATTCCATAAGAAACGCTGGAAGTTCTCCATTCTTTGGCTGCATGTCTTCTTTTCATTTAAAGTTGCCATCTTTGCTGAAAACCAGGAGCTCCTTCAGAAAACAAGCTGTTCAGCCGCTGCCCAAAGAGTTGATCAGGTAACCATTTTGGTTTTATACCCTTTTAGCCTGAAGGTTATGCAGATTAATATCCATCATCATCATAAGCTGATAACGGCATATATTCACCCACAGTAACTATCGTTCTGTTAAAACAACTGTTGATAAGCAAAACGTTCAGTTGGGCATGGAAAACGTAATTATCAAATGTCCTTTCCTCTCCCTCCTTGGTGTTGCGTATTTTGCACAGAACTTGTACATTCCACACGATAGACGTTATCGCAGCAGATAAAATTTCACTGCCCTTGATAACCCACAACATTGTGGTTGCTCTGCTTGAGCTCCTCCTTCCTCGGTCAACAGGTTTGTGCAGGTACTACTAGGCTAGACAAGCATTGCAATGATTATTCAGTTTCACTTGCAGCCTCTTAGAAGCAGATGGGCCTTTTTCTACCTCCCAGTGAGTTGGATCCTGAGAAAAGTGCAGAAAGAGACCAGTGGAAATGCATTCTCAGACTTCCCAGGCACCCAACACACTTAAAAGCTCCCCTAAGAATTGGGAAACCCAGTTGAATGAGGCAAGCTGAGGGTGAAGGCAGATCTCCAAAATAGGGCAGAGGCAACATTGGAAGCTCCATTCACAGAAGTTGCATCGGCCTGATCTTCAGAGACAATACAGCCCAGGGTCCCCTAACCCCCTAGGAGAAGCGCCTTTTGGAGGAAGAAGGCAGTTAGGACAACTTTTTTTAGGATTTCACAGGTGTTTTTATGGGTCTTTCTCAGGGTCCAACCCAAAGCCAATCGAGTGAGAGTCCAGCAAAAATATGTATTTGCTATACAACCAATAAAGGATTTAATTGTGTGCTGTAATGGGTCAAGAAATCAGGTCTCAATGAAATGCATGTGTGAGTTCATGGGAAAGCCTAGTTCCACTTCAACAGATGGTTCAAGGGAGTTATACTGCGACTAGGCCATCTATGTTAACCCTGTTAATCTTGATATGTTGAGCTCTTGCAGGTTGTGAAAGCAACCACCCAACCTATTGCAGAATGTGTGCATTTTGTGACCCACTCTTGTTGCATGTAGCAATGTAGTTAACAATAAGAGAAACAATACAGTATATCACAATCTCTCTTTATTGCAAGGAAACTACCTACAAGTAAATCACAGTAACCGGATACTGTTTATTTTGGGGTAGTAGCTTGTGCCCTTCACCAGTGTTTACTTAAGCATTTGACATTGGACTTCTCTTTCTACCAGAAGATCCAGGGCAGCAGCAGACTTCCAGCAGCCTGTTAATAACTGGCCAGTATTCTCCAAGCCAGAGAGATGAAATAACCTTGAAGCACAGGGGCAAACAGATGCAGCTTGATGTTAGGCCTCTCTGACCCACCTTGTTCTGGTGACTGTAATCCGGGCATAGGAAAACTCAGCCCTCCAGATGTTTTGGGACTACAATTCCCATCATCCCTGACTACTGGTCCTGCTAACTAGGGATGATGGGAGTTGTAGTCCCAAAACATCTGGAGGGCCGATGTCTGCTGTAATCTGTTTTAACTGTTTTCAGTATTGTATTTCTACATAGTTGGAACCCACCAAGAGACCTCATTGTCAAAGGCGGATGAGAACCTGAAATATCTTGGATGTACGGCTACATTCCCTTTCAAAAGTAATTTGTAGGGTTGTGCAATCGAACTTATGGTGGAATAGCGTGACTTAACATTTTTTTTAAAAGACATGCATGACCACTGATTCAAAATTGGTGTTACACACACACAATGTTAAAATGGTTGAGAAAAGCACCTGTTTCAAAATGAGATAAAGGGAACTATGAAGAGTCACGGAAGGGGAAGCGACAACATTGGCCGCTAGACTATATTCTGCCCGCCAGGTGCATAAGACATAGCAAGATGCCCACACTATATCCCTGTGAATGGGAATTCTGCTTTTACCTTATGGTGGAAGATCCACTTAAATCAGTAGCACTAGGAGCCCTCCATCCAGAAGACCCTTTAGTTTGATTTGAGAAATTCAGATAATTCATTTTTGAACTTAATAATATTTTTTCTGTCAAAACTTGATGATCCCCAGATAAGGTGTGGTACATTTAAGTACTTCTAGTTCTGCTTCTATCAATTCTAGGCTTTAGGGGCCTCTCAAACACACTTCCATCTCACGCTCCATAGAAGTATTTGGGCTGCATACTACCTGCACATCTTTTACTATAGTGTAGAGATGTGGCATGGTCCAATCTCTGTGGTAGTGTGTCAAGAGAAAAGAGCTCTGGGGTTCTCTATCTTTGGCAAGTATTGGTGTTGGTTCCACTGTATAGTCAAAGTAATTGCAGGACCCTGGAATATATTTCTGTCTCTTGTTAGACTCTGCCTCTGGTATTCTTCAGTATATAAAGACCCTTATTCTAAACTTATGGTCTTCCTCATTCAGTGTTGCTCTTCCAACTTCAATCCTCATTTGAACTTTTTGTTGTCCTTCCATGAGTTTCAGTTCTGCTTCTTGCCTAAGAGGAAAATATCTTGTGTGCGAACACTCAGAGACTCATGGCTCTTAGGAGGTGTTTTGCACACAATATTTCTTTGTTGTACTTTTAAAATTATTTGAACATACTGTTTACTTTTCAGGTTGCTTTATTGCCCTTGGGCTCACCAGTGAGATGAAGGACAGCCAAACCTCCCTTTTGAAGGTTAACACAGGGATTCTAGGAGATGAGAGAAAGTAAAAAAATAAATAAATCGCTAAATAAACTAATCTAATCTTTGCTCCTGCTAGATTTTCCTAGTGTCGCAAAGTTGGAACAGTACACGGGTGAGTCTGTGATCATATTGTCTCAGTTATTCCTACCACCTGAACTGGGTCCAAGACACGCATCACTGTTGTAACTTACCCCCGGAGAACAAATGAAGACCCTCTTTGTACGTTCTCTGCGAAGATTAAGGCAGCTGTCAGCACTGCTATGTAAAAATAACAGGAACATCAATGTAGTGCCAGCCTTTCCAGGAATGTCATTCCATAACCAGAGCACCAATACTGCAAAGAGTTGACAACATTTGCCTGCACGAGCCAGAGAAGAGTCTCTGATGGACATCTTAAAAGGTCAGGCAAGTAGGTATGGGAAGAGACAATCCTTCAGGCAACCTGGCCCCAAAGAGTTCAGGGATTTAAAGGTTAACAGCACTTTGAATTGGTCCGGGGCCTGGAAACTGTTCAGATACAGATGCAGAAGACAGAGCAGCTGTACTTTTCCAAATTCCTTTCCAAGGCAGCCCCGTGTATAGAAAAATGGTAGTAGAACCAAGTTCTAGCAGAAACCCAGTACAAAGTTTGCCTAAGTCAGGAGGGAAGGCAGTGCTTTTCCAAACACCAGGCAAGTTTGGAGTCCATTGGTTTTTCTACGTAGTGCATCATGTAAAAATCTCCTGCTTTGCTAATATATAAAAGACTACCATGCTTTACCTTCTGCTCTCTCCTACAACACCTTGTGGTGAATTTCAGCTGGTGCTAGAGACAAATCTGAAGGACGACTGGCATTCATCTTTCCAACTGGTTCCTGGTACCAGCAAGCTTTATTAAAAACCTGTTGAGTCTATAAAAATAAAAAATAAAAAATTCTGAATCTTAAGATTGTGAGAGCAGGATGCTGGACTACATGGGCTCTTCCTATATTATATTTCCCACCCCCCTTATGTGTGTATGTTGACCGTCAAACCTGAGGAAAACTACTGTGAAATTCAAAAGTTAGTTCACTGTTTTGTGAGTTTTATGGGGGGTTTTGTATATAATTTTTTAGTTAAAATTTTCAAACCATTTCACAATAACTATGAAATCAAGTACATTGTTTCATAAGTTGACTTCCCACCCTCACTTCCACCGTGTTTTTTACTCAAGCCTTTTCTACTGCATTATATTTTGATCTACCACAAAAAGTTTACCTGTTACAGTTATTTGTCAATTTTCTTCCACTTCTTTTATCTCGAGTTCTGTCCGCAATTTCATTTGAATGTAATATTTTTTTTAATAGTCCATGAAATAGCCTCCATTCTTCTATGTTCATCATTTTTATCTCTTAAAAGTTCATCATTTTTATCTCTTAATTTCACTGTCAGCTTTCCCATTTCTGCATAGTCCACTACGACTGTTTTGTGAGTTTTAGTTCATACATAATTATGTTATATTAGATGTTTCCAGTTAGAATTTCAATAGAAAATGGAGATTGCCCTTTCTTCCTAATTTATTTATTTATTTATTTATTTAAAATATTAAATATTTATTTATTTATTTGTATAAATTTATAAACTTGATGAGATCTCTGTCTTTAAAATGCTTCTTTAAAGCAGCTATAACAGAACAGGGAAGCGAGATCTGGACTGTGGTGCTTGGGGAGTGTCTTTCTTCTTGTACACCCCCACCCCAAAGCAGCTGTTTTACTCTCTTTGGGGGAGACATACAGATGTGTTTTTCTAAACAAGGCAAACAGCAGCTTGGAAAGGTTACGCTGGGGGAAATTGTGCAAGGAAAATGGCTTCCCCTCTTTCTCCAGTGCCACAGCCTCATTTCCAATTTTAATTAAATGAACAAGATGAAATATCCAACTGGGTACCCTAACTCATCTTTTCAAAGTGTGTATCGAAAATGGAAACACAATGGATTAATGCAGCTGCTGCTTTTGAACTTGCCCCTATTCCCTTGATTACAAAAACATTAAACTGAACTATCTTCCTCCTACCAGTATAGTAGTATATAGTGCCCCCTTGTGGGTGACAGAAATACATACAGGGATGTGGATCTTTTATTTTCCATGCACGTATATTACAGTGGTACCTCGGGTTACAGACGCTTCAGGTTACAGATGCTTCAGGTTACAGACTCCGCTAACCCAGAAATAGTACCTCGGGTTAAGAACTTTGCCTCAGGATGAGTACAGAAATCGTGCGGCATGGTGGGAGGCCCCATTTAG